CTTTTTTTTTTTTTTCTTTTTTTTGTCACAAATATCGTAAACATCCACAAACATTAACGTGCGCACTTTCACAAAACCTTTAACGTTAGTAATCCTTGCTGTTTGGTATTTGTATTATCTACAAATATAATCAAGTGTTTAATTATGTTTAATGTGATCTAAGAATTCTATATTTAATGTTTTCTTCCATGTTTCTTTAGTCTTTTGTTACTACTTTCTACACCTTGGATCTCAAGGGAGTGTTGAAGCTGCAGAGGTTTACATGCATCAGTGAAACTGCTACCCCAGAGGCACCTTCTTTTTTCTTTTCAATTTTATTATTTCCTTGTCATTGTTGGACTACAAAATCGGTGGAAAGACTATATTGGAATTTAGCCACAAAGCTTGTGTTTTATTTTTTTGAACTTTGGTGGATTGTTGAAAATATGAATGTGAACCAAAGTACTAAGTTTTCTGTTTGATGCCATATTGATTGCTGAAAATATCGCTGTGAAACTGAGGTTGCATTTGTGCATTTGAACTTGAAACAGAATGCAAAGTTTTTTTTCTCTGTTTGTGTGGGTTTTTTTTCCCCCCATTAATTGTTAAATACAACTTTGAAGCTATGAACCTGAATTTATTTTGTGTGGACATTTCATTCAAATTATTATTAACTTTTCACTTAGCATTTTCAACATCAACATGAGGAGAAGAGATGGCTACTAATTTTAATAATAAATATGAATGCAATAATAAAGCCTAACACGAAACATTTCTCTCTAACAACATGAAAGGCAATTAAGGAATATGTGTAAACGTATATGATGGTCATTTTGCTTTTATTGAATGCCAAGTGAAATATTCTGCTGTGATGGCATCTCTAACAGCTCTGCCAGTTGGATGGTCCTGAGTGAAGGGGTCAATAACATCAAGGGGGAGGTGATAATCACTTGCCACCCGCTCCTTCCTTATAGTGGCTATGTTGTGGAGGATAATTTGAGATGCCCGCTCTGGTGAAACTTTTAGGTCACGAAGACAGTTAAACTGTGCCTTTAAAATGGCAAAAGTCATGTCTATCTTGAGCCTGGTTTGACTGAGGGCCAAGTTAAAGTCATGCTGTGGTTTTGTCTCGGTGTCAGGGTGGGGAGTCATCAAAAAGCTCTGGCATGCATAAGTTCTGTCTCCCACCAACAGACCATCAAACAGCCCTGTCAATGAACGGAAAAGAAAAAAGTGTCACAGTCCATTCCAGTAAAGTGTTGTCTAGAGATTGCACTTTGCCATACCTTCTTGAAAGCGCTGGCATAACAATGACTTCTCGAAGATTTGGGTGTCATGCATAGAGCCAGGCCATCTGACATCCAGATTTGTGACCATACACTGATGGTCACAAGTCATCTGTAATTAACATACAGCAGGTGAGTCCCATGGGTTAGTGTTACATTATAATGAAAATATATGCATCTTAGTAAAACCTACCTGAACATTGAGGCTATGAGTAGCCTTTCTGTTAAAGGGGTCATATGATGTTGCTAAAAAGAACATTATTTGGTGTAATGAAATGTGTTTATGCGGTTTAGGGTTCAAAAAACACATTTTCCACATACTGTACATTATTGTTTCTCTTCTATGTCCCGCCTTTCTGAAATGTGTCAATTTTTACAAAGCTCATCAGTCTGAAAAGCCAGGTGTGCTCTGATTGGCCAGCTAGCCAGAGCGTTGTGATTGGCCGAATACCTCAAGCGTGTGACGGAAATGTTACGCCCCTTACCATACTGTGAGCGGCCAGCGGGGCTAGAGTGAGCGGAGGCCGGCGGGGCTAGAGTGAGCGGAGGCCGGGCTTGAGTGAACGGCAGCCGGCGGGGCTTGAGTGAGCGGAGGCCAGGCTTGAGTGAACGGCGGCCGGGCTAGAGTGAGCGGAGGCCGGGCTTGAGTGAGCGGCGGCCGGCGGGCTTGAGAAAGGCGCGGCCGGCGAATTCGACGAAGGAGCGGGCTTGCGGCAACCACATGTGACGACCCCGGGCTGGACTCCGCTTCGTCC